AGCTGACATTGGTACATGAGCTAAGCGCCAGACTATGAGTTTCTCATATTTTTCCGTTATGACCTCTTTCTCTTCCAGGACACATTCCAGGGTACCACACTGCATGTACTTGTCGTGTTTCCACAACTCTGGGACAATTAGTCTTTCCTTTTTAAAAAAAAATTTTTTATAAATATTTTTATTAGTACATGTTTGCAATACATAATGGTTATGTTCTTCATGGGGAGTTGGTACATGTACATAATACGTCTTAATTCTTTTTCCTTTTTTTTTATGACTTGTACAATCTTGGAGAATACTGGCCAAATAACTTAGAGACTATCCTATAGTCTTACTGGGGATGGTGGCTCAAACCTGTAATTCTAGCACTTGGGGGGCTGCGGCAGGAGGATTGTGAGTTTGAGGCCAGCCTGGGCTACATAAGTGAGCTCAAGGCCAACCTGAACTGCACAGTGAGACCCTGTCTCAAAAAGAAACAAAAACAAAAAAACCACAACAGATAAAAGTGCTGAACTCCTCACGTGGAAGCTATATGATATCCACATGATTACCCATGTTAGTGTTCGCCAGATTTCTCCACTGGAAAGTTATTTTTTCTCTTTCTCTATTCTTAGAAAGTGAATTAATAAATCCAGCCCAACCTCAATGGAATTGATGGGAATTAAGCTTCACATTCTAGAGAGAGTAGTATCTACATCTATTACCTGGAATTCTGTAAGAAATTTTTATCTCCATTTATTTAGTCTATCACATGTATATTACTGGATAGTTATTTTATACTTGGGATTGTAATTTAATAATACATTAGTTTGTCATTCAAATTGTCACCAGATTTGGATATTGGGGCTCTTTTAGGTTGACTCCTCCATGCCTTTGCTATCTACAATATGTGCACCTCCTTTTTCTCTTGCTTTTTTTTTTGAGACAAGGTCACTAATCCAGGCTGGCCTCAAAATTAACTTCCTCCTCAACCTCCTTAGTGCTGGATTATAAGCATATGCCACCACGCTTGGCTTCCTTATGGTTGGTTGGGGTTGTTTTGTATTTGAGACAAGGTCTCACTATGTAGCCCAGGCTGGCCTTGAATTTGTGGTGATCCTCCTGCCTCAGCCTCCTGAGTGCTGGGATTACAGGTGTGTGCCACCATGCCTGGCTCTTGCTTTTGTGTGTTGAGCACTTTCTTGTATTGTTTTGTGGTACCAAGGATTGAACCCAAGGGCACTGTACTACTTGAGCTACACCCTCAGCCCTTTATGTATGTTTATGACCTCTTTCTCTTCCAGGATACACTCCAGGGTACCACTCTGCATGTACTGTATTGGTCATGTTCCCCAGTCTCCTCTGGCACAAGTAGAGTCTCACTAAATTGCCCAGACAGTTCTTGAATTTGAGACCTTCTTGCCTCAGCCTTCCAAGTAACTGGGATTCAGTCGAGTGCCACCATGCCCAGCTCCTTCCTTCTTCCCTCCCTTCCTTTCATTCTGTTTTTGTACTGGGAATTGAACTCAGGGCCTTGTGTTTGCCAGGCAGGTGCTGCGCCGCTGAACTACATCCCCTGCCCCCATTCTTGCTTTCTGACATACAATTCTGACATACAAGATGTTTTTGATTCATCGTGTCTTTTCCCTGTCCCAGCCCTAGGAGCCTTCAGTTTCTTTTATTGGAGTAATGGTATTTAGAAGCCAAGTTCTAGCCCCAATATAGTTCATAGCTAATACCAGCCTCTAGCTAACGTTAAATCTGAATTCTGGCCCCTTCTGAGTTTAAGTTACTCTGACAGCTTTCCTCGTTTTCCATCAGGCTATTGGTGTCACTTTTTTTTGTCCTACCAGAGAAATCTTGGTCAGTTGTTTACAGGTGCATGCCATCGTGCCGGGCTGGCCTTGAGCTCATTTTGTAGCCCAGGCTGGTCTCAAACTCCCAATGATCCTCTTGCCTCAGACTCCCAAGTGCTGGGATTATAAGTGTGCACCACCATGTCCAGCTTGATATTTTTATACCCATCAGCAAAATATTTTTTCAAAATTTTATTTATTTATTTGAGTCAGGATCTTGCTATGTAGTTCAGGCTGACCTTGAGCTCACTATGTATATCAGCCTGACCTCAAACTCACGGTGTTCCTCCTGCCTCAGCCTCTCGAATGCTGGGATTACAGCTGTACACTACCACCCCCAGCTCCATCACTATAACATTTTAACGTTTTATTTGAGAACCTGTTTTGGGTGTGTGTTTCCAGTTTTCTTTTTGCAGCTTATGAGCTCATAATCATTGTGTCATCCATTCATTTACATAACATTTATTGAGCCTTTACTATGTATGAAATACTAAATTAAATCAAGGGTAAACCACATGCACACCTATAATCCCAGCACTCAGGAGGCTGAGGCAGGAGGATTGCTGCAAGTTCAAAACCAGCCTGGGCTGCAAAGTGAGCTCAAGGCCAGCCTGAACTGACAGGGAGACCCTGTCTCAAAAGACAAAAAGAAAAAAAAATGAATGAAAGTGTAGGAGCTGCAAATGCACAGCCTGTGCCACTACACCAGGCTGCCTCTCTAAACTACAAGATCTTGGGGGGCAGGAATCATTTCTGTCTTTGAACGTCCAGCACCTAACAAAATACTTTGTCCAGACTAGGATCTAATAGATATTTACTGAATTAAGTCACTTAACAATTTATTTTAGCTTTGCAGTCAGTAGGATCAAAGGTCAATCACTGGGTAGCTGCTGGCTTGAATTAGGGGCCCTCATGGAAGTCACTGTGTATGCAGAATCCACGCATCTTTTACTCCCTCCTAAGCTGTGGTCCTCTTTCAGGACCTTCCTAACCCTTCACCTCTCAGATTATTACCATCTCTACTACACTCTGCTGGGGAATTGAACCCAGGGCCTCATATGTTCTAGTGGAGCGCTCTGCCGCAGAACTGCAGCTCCAGCCCTACCATTTCTACCCTAAGCCCTAACTGCAGAGCAGTTCCCATCAACCTGGCTGGGTTGTTTCCATCTTCCAAATGAGTAGTTTTTCAAAGCTTTTGCTGAGGCCGCCCTTCCTTTTTGTTTCGTCCTTGCCCTGCTCCCACTCTGGAGGAGGCAGTCTCCTGAGACATTCCAGACAAAAAAGCTATTTCATCTTCAACTCCCCCTTCACCACCACCCTAGACTTATCTGATCTGAGAGCTGGTGAAGGAAGCACCACATTCCAACGCAGGCCGGCCCGCAGGAAGGATGGGCAGCTGTCTCTAGCGCTAGTCGTTCTTCCAGCGGCTGCTTACAGCTATCGGAGCGCTCTCTTTCCTCCTTTCATGCAGGAGGAAAACCCAGCAGCAGGCTTAGTGTGGTACTGGCTTAACGCAGATCATTCTGAGAAGGGCTTCCAGGCAGCCGCAAGGGGGATAGAAAGCTAGTAAAACACACTAGTCCACTTGGAGTCTAGTTCTCCTGGGCACGAGCTGCTCACAGGTGTGGAAGTGACTCTGGTTTCTTACTCTGGGGAAGAATCAGGTAGAGTCGAGTTCCTGTCTCTGTTGCTACACAAGGCATAGACTTCTTCCATCTGCATCTAACATGCCCTTTACACACCCTGTGCCCTCCCTTCGCATTTTACAACCCTGCAGCTTATACTCAATAGGGGGAAAAAAAGGAAAAAATGCTTCATAGGTGGTATACTACACTATGTGTATTAGTCATCAGAGGAGGCTTTTTTCTGCCCTTTTGCCACAGCCCGAGTTCCTATATCTGCTGACCCCTGGTGGTGAGAACTTGAACTGTCTGCTTCCTTTCTAGTTAGTGGCCAAATGGCAGATAACCATATTTTGTCAAGGATACCAATTCAAATACTAAATGTTGCATTAAATGAAGATATTTTTCCATTGCTGGATTTTGTGGTTTTTTTTTTTTTCAGGTAACATTGTGAGAACAGCCGGGCATGGTGGCGCACGCCTGTAATCCCAGCACTCGGGAGGCTGAGGTAGGAGGATCGTTGCGAGTTCGAGACCAGCCTGGGCTACAAAGTGAGCTCAAGGCCACCCTGAACTGCAGAGCGAGAGCCTGTCTCAAAAAGACAAAAAAACTCCCAAAAAAACAAAACAAAAAAAACCCCAAAACACTGTGAGAACAGAGCCTGGGCTTTGGTATCTAATTTACCTAAGTTCATTTTCCACCTCAGCTATTTTCTGTGAGAATGACCTTGGGGCAATTTACCTAACCTGAGTTTTCTTATCTATAAGGTGGAGAAGATAATAAATGCCTCACGGGGAAAATTAGATAATTGTAAAGTGCATAACCCTTGATGTGCCCTAGCGCACACTAGGTGCTCAATAATAAAGAGTTGTTATAACCTCAGTAATGGTGATTTGCTCAGTATGTCTTTGTTTTGTTGTTGTTCCTTTCTTTGTTTTGTAGTACTGGGAGTTGAACTCAGGTGCTCTACTACTGAGGTTCATCCTCAGCTGTTTTTATTATGATTATGTTAAAATATACATGACAAAATTTGCCATTGTAACCTTTTCTTTCTTTTTCTTTCTTTCTTTCTTGAGACAAAGTCTCAAACTCATGGCAATCCTCTTGCCTCATCCTGCCTCATCCTCCCAAGTTGTTCCCCCAAGTTGTGCCCCCGCCACCACCATACCAGGAATGGAACTCACGACGTTGCACTTGCCAGGCAGGCGCTGTGCCGCTGAGCTAAATCCCCAGGCCTCATCCTCCCAAGTGAGTGCTGGGATTACAGGCGTATGACACTATACCTAACTCTGTAACCATTTCCAATGTGATTTTTTTTTTTTTTTTTGCGACAGGGTCTCACTATGCAGTTCAGGCTGGCCTTGAGCTCACTATATAGCCCAGGCTGGCCTAGAACTCACAACAATACCCCTGCCTCAGCCTCGTGAGTGCTGGGATTATACGTGTGTGCACCACCACACCCAGCTTCAATGTGATTCTTTTAAACACTGAGAAATGTAATATATACTTTCTGATTTTTGAGTTTGGAAAATGAGGTCAACTCTAGTATGGATTGTAAAGTCTCCTGCCCAGGGAGCTACAGATCTGAGGCCTGAATAATATGGGTTAGAAGAGATGTTGGGCAGAGGGTAGTAGTACATACCTGTAATCTCAGCCCTTGGGAGGCTGAGGCAGGAGGATTCCCATGAGTTTGCAGTCAGCCTGGCGTACATAGCAAGACCCTGTTTCAACAACAAACCCCCCCCCCCAAAAAAAAGATACCTTTTGGGCAGAGCTGAATGTCTCTAAGCATTTGACCTCACTTTGGTTTCCAGCACCTGCTTCCAAGGTCAACAAAGGACAGATAATTGAAGTTAGGTATCTCTAGGTTCTAAACTAGACCTGGAAGCCCCCTCTTCCTGCATTGCAGAGAAAAGAGGAGGTGGCTGAAGAAGGAGGATATGAGATTGGTTTTCTGCTCCTCCCTTTCTCTCCCTGTTTTCCTCACACCCACCCTCTCCCCCACAGCAGCCATCTCTCCCACAGAAACTGGGATAGGACAGAGGGGGCGGAGTTGGGGACGGAGGGCTTGGAAGCCCCATTGCATCCTGTATCTGAGAAGCTTCGCCCAGGGGCAGCTGACCTGGCTTATACTGTCCTCCTCCTGCTGCCATCCTTCAGCACCATGCTGGGGGCACTGGGGCTTTGGACTTGGCTTCCTGCAGCTGTGCAAGGTAAGTGTCCACAAGGAGGGGCAGGTCTGCCCACCACCCAGGGAAGCAGCAGCCACCCGCTTGGAACCGTGGGGAGGCTGCATGTGCGAGGGTGAGGGGTAGAGCCATGTGCCCCCGGGGCCGGCGGTCAGGTTACTCTGCAGGCCCACACAGGGGCCTCCTGTGGCCTTACTGCTGACCCCGGGGTATGAAAACCATGTTTTGTCTATCTTTTAGGCTACTATTTTTGTCCCTGCATTCACTCCCTTCTTGAACCCTCCCCTTTCCTCATCTCGGGCCTCAGCACCCCCAAACAGGCGGACCTGTGTGTTCTTTGAGGCCCCTGGAGTGCAGGGAAGCACAAAGACCCTGGGGGAGCTTCTAGATGCAGGAGCAGGGCCCCCCAGGGTTATCCGCTGCCTCTACAGCCGCTGCTGCTTTGGGATCTGGAACCTGACCCAGGGCCAGGCCCAGGTGGAGATGCAAGGTGAATGGCAAAGTACACGGCAGGTGATGGAGGGCAGCGGCATGTCCTGGGGCACGGGTGGCAGCCAAGGGGCAGGGGGAGAATGGAATGTGGAGGGCAAGAAAGCCTTGCGAGATGGGGGGACGCCTCTGACAGCGAAGGGATTCATCCTCCCCGTCCCTGGGCGCCATCGTGCGCACACCCTCTTCTTCTCCCCCTAATCCTACCCCATCAGGATGCCGAGACAGTGACGAGCAAGGCTGTGAGTCCCTCCACTGTGACCCAAGACCCCGAGCTCACGCCAGCCCCGGCTCTACTCTCTTCACCTGCTCCTGTGGCACTGACTTCTGCAATGCCAATTACAGCCATCTGCCTCCTCCGGGGAGCCTGGGGGCTCCTGGTGCCCAGGCCGCCCCAGGTAGCTGCCTATGTAGAGGGGCTTGGGGGTGCTGGAGCCCAGGGGATGGGGCCAGGTTAGGATGAGAGGTGGAATCGAGGCCGGTTCTCACCCTGCCCCCGTCCGCCCGTCCGCTGCTTTCCTCCGCCTGACCTTGGGAAGTTGGTTGCTTGGTGACTAGGAGATAAGGGGGCTGTGACCAGGATGGGGGTGGTTGCAAAGCAAGCTCTCTGAGGAGGGGAGAGGCGGCTGTTTGGGACAGTGCCTGCCCACCTGCGCTCTTGCTTTGATGTCTAGGTGAGTCGGTCTGGATGGCGCTGGCGCTCCCGGGGCTGCTGCTGCTCCTGCTGCTGCTGGGCAGCATTGCCTTGGGTACTAGTCTGCCCCTTTTCCCTTGTTACTCCAGGACCCTGCCCCACAGCACCGGCCCCCCTCCCCTCTCCACAGCCTGCCTCTCACTACCTGGCACAAAGCCCCCTGCCCACAAAGTCCCCTTCCCTGTGTCTGTCCCTGTGCCTGTGCATTCTGACCCCAACGCCCTTTTCTGCCGCAGCCCTACTCCAGCGAAAGGCCCACAGAGTGCACCGTGGCCCAGAGCCAGAGCCAGACCCAGGCAGAGCCTGGAGTGAAGAGCTGCCGGAGCTGCCCCAGCTGTGCTTCTCCCAGGTGCCCTAGGGCGGGAGGAAGGGACCCTCTGGGCACTGCGGAAGGTTGTGCTGGGAAGCCTAGCCCACCCGCTAGGCCTGCACCCAGCACGGTGTCCCCTCCAGGTAATCCAGGAAGGAGGTCATGCAGTAGTATGGGCCGGGCAGCTGCAAGGCGAGCTGGTAGCCGTCAAGGCCTTCCCTCCAAGGGCCGCGGCCCAGTTCCAGTCTGAGAGGGCAATGTATGAGCTGCCAGGCCTACAGCATGACAATATTGTCCGCTTTATCACTGCTGGCCAGGGAGGCCCTGGACCTCTGCCCTCTGGGCCCCTGCTGGTACTGGAACTATACCCTAAGGTGAGGAGTAAGGGATGTTTGCTTTTGTGTATGCCTGTATGTGTCAATGGAGGTGGGGCTTTACTCACATTTATTCTTTTTTGCTGTTTGTTTGTTTGTGGCAGGATCTGTCTATGTAGTTCAGACTGGCCTTGAACTCATTGTCTAGCCCAGGCTGGCCTCGAACTCATAGTAATTCTCCTGCCTCAGCCTCCCAAGTGCAGATCCCACACTTATTTTTTTTGTTTTAGGCATTTCTCTTCTCTAAACATTTAAACCAGTTTTTATTGTTTTTTCTTTTTCATGGCACAAGCAGTTTATGTATGTTGTTGTTTTGATTGTGTTTTGTGTTAAGGTAGCACTATGTTCCCAGGACTGGTCCCTGAAGTCTTGGGCTCAAGTGAGCCTCCTTCCTTAGCTTCTCAAGTAGCTGAGACTATAGTTACACTACCACTCACCCAGCTCATGTTGTTGTTAATGTTATTATTTTTGAGACAGGGTCTCACTATGTAGTTCAGGCTGGCCTTGAACTCACAATGTAGCAAAGACTGGCTTTTTTTGTTGTTGTTGTTGTTTTGTCTTTTTGAGGCAGGGTCTTGCTATGCAGTTCAGGCTGGTCTTGAGCTCACTTTGTAGCCCAGGCTGGTCTCAAACTTGCAACGATCCTCCTGCCTCAGCTTCCTGAGTGCTGGGATTACAGGTGTTCACCACCACACTAACCATTATTATTAGCTTGGTTTTTTGAAATGGGGTCTCAGTATGTACCCCAGGTTAGCCTCAAACTTATGGTGATCCTCTTGCCTCACCCTCCCATGTAATGGGACCGTGTCCTGCCTCCCTTATTTGTATTCTGTGGGTTATAAATATTAATATGAAGCCAAGTGTGGTGGTACATGCCTGTTATCCCAGCACACAGAAGGTAGAGGCAGAAACATCATGAGTTCAAGGCCAGTTTGGGCTATGCAGAAAGTTCAAGACCAGTCTAGAATATTGTATATAGTGAGAACTTGTTCCAAAAAACAAACAAGGGGCTGGGGATTTAGCTCAGTGGCACAGCACCTGCCTGGCAAACGCAAGGTCGTGAGTTCGATTCCCGGTACCAGAAAACAAACAAACAAAAAACAAAACAAAACAAAAAAAACCCAAAAAAAACCAAAAAACAACAAACTACTTTTAGTGAAAAAACAAACAAAAAAAATCAGCCTAGAAGCAAGTCATAGTAGCACATGCCTATAAGGCTAGCACTCAGGAGGCCAAGAAGAGGAATGGCCATGAGTTCAAAGCTACGCTAGGCTATGTAGTAAAACTACATAGCAAGACCCTGTCTCAAGCCAGGCGTGGTAGTTCACGCCTGTAATCCCAGCAATGAGGAGGCTGAGGTAAGAGGATCTTTGCGAGTTTGAGGCCAGCCTGGACTACAAAGTAAGCTCAAGGCTGGCCTGAACTGCATACCAAGACCCTATCTCAAAAGACCAAAAAAAAAAAAAAAAAAAAAAAAAAAAAAAAAAAGACCCTGTCTCAAAAAGCAAAATGAAACAAAAATCAGCCCGGGCAACTTAGTCTTAGCAAGACCTTTTCTCATAATTTTAAAATTTTATTTAAAAAGGGCGGGGGCTTGGTGTGGTGAATCAGTACTATAATCCCAGTAATGCTGCAAGGCTGGGGCAGGAGGATCTGAAGTTTAAATCCAACCTGTTGTACAATTTAGTAATTTAGTGAGTCTCTGTCTCAAAATAAAACACAATTTATTTATTTATTTATTTTTGTCTTTTTTTGAGACTTTTTTTTTTTGAGACAAGTTCTCGCTATGCAGTTCAGGCTGGCCTTGAGCTCACTTTGTAGCCCAGGCTAGCCTCAAACTCGAAACAATCCTCCTGCCTCAGCCTCCCTAGTGCTGGGATTACAGGCATGTGCCACCATGCCTAGCAAAACAAAATTTAGAAGTGCCGGGAATGTAGATCAGTGAGAAGGGGATAAATTCAATCACTAGTACTGCCAAAAAAAAAGAAAAAGAAAGAAAAAAAACCACTATACCTCTAGACATAGCACTCCAACCCATTCATATGTTCATTTTATAAATATTTACAAACTGTATGGCAGACACTGTGCTAGATGCTGAGAAAAGCCCACACAGTCCCTGCCTTTACAAATTTTCTAGGCCAACAAGGGACACAGAAATGAGTCAAGTTAAAGCTGGGGGTGGTGGCACATGCAGGTAATCCCAGCACTCAGGAGGCTGAGGCAGGAGGATTGCCGGGACTTTGAGGCCAGCCAGGACTACATAATGAGTTCGTTAGTGAGTTCAAAACCAGCCTGAAACACATAGACCCTGTCTCAAAAAATATATAAAAAGAAAAAAGAAGAGTCCAGAAGTCCACATGCACAGAGCCTAGGTCAGAGCTTCTGCTTGGTACAGTTGGCCTAGGGTTACTATTGCTCCATCCATCTGACTGGTACAGCTCCTCGCTCTTCGCCTGTGAGTTGTCTTGGCCTGGACCTATCAGGATGTCTGTCTGCAGGGGAGGTGAGGGGGTGGGGAGAACCTGTCAGTTGAATTCTGCTCCCTGGGCTCAAAATCAGTCACCTCTAGCTTTGCGTGTCCCTCTTCTCTCTGCTTTTCCCCAGGGCTCTCTGTGCCACTACCTGACCCAGCACACCAGTGACTGGGAAAGTTCCCTGCGGATGGCGCTATCCCTGGCCAAGGGCCTGGCATTTCTGCATGAGGAGCGCTGGCAGCATGGTGGGTGAGCTGGCTGCAGGAAGCCGAGGGGTTCAGGCGCCGCACGGCTGTGTGTCCAACTCTCCCTTAGCTTGGAAGGGAAGGATGAGGTCAAAAAATGAGTGGAAGAAGACCCAAGTGCCTTGAGCCTTGGCTCTCCCCACAGGCCAGTATAAACCAGGCATTGCCCACCGTGATCTGAGCAGCCAGAACGTGCTCATTCGGGAAGACAGGTCGTGCGCCATTGGAGACCTGGGCCTTGCCTTGGTGCTACCTGGCCTTTCCCAGCCTCCCACCTGGGCTCCTACTCGACCCCGAGGCCCGGCTGCCATCATGGAGGTGGGTACTCTGACCTGGCGGGGCGGGGTGGCGGTGGGCTGCCGGGGCTATGTGGCAATAGCGCAGCAGCCCCCGAGGCTGCGGGGACATTGCTGAGCCTGTAGCTGGAAGGGTGTCGCATGGCCCCAGGCTGCAGCGAGGGTCACCGCAGAGGTGATTTTCCGTCCTCCTTTCTCCCCAGGCTGGCACCTACAGGTACATGGCGCCAGAGCTCTTGGACAAGACTCTGGACCTGCAGGACTGGGGCACAGCCCTCCGGCGAGCAGATGTTTACTCTCTGGCTCTGCTCCTGTGGGAGATCCTGAGCCGCTGCCCAGATCTGAGCCCTGGTAAAGTCGCTATCCCTGGCGCCCCGTCCGCCCAGTCTAGGCTCACTCACCTCCTGACCTGCTTCCAGGAGGCTGTGACCTTCTTCCCTAGCTTCTTGACTTGCGGGGTGTCCCCTGGGGCAAGCTGACACCCAGCCCAATCCCTCCCCACAGACTGCAGACCGCCTCCCTTCCAACTGGCCTACGAGGCGGAACTGGGCAGCAGCCCCACCACCTGTGAGCTCTGGGCCTTGGCAGTAGAGGAGAGGAGGCGCCCCTACATCCCGTCCACCTGGAGCTGCTCTACCAGGGTGAGAACCCGGGTGGGTGGGTGTGCGCATGCGCATACGCGTTCAAGGCCTTCTCCTCCCAGGTCAGTCTATCTATTCCTATCTCCTCTCATCTTCCACCACTCCTAGAACTAGGGAAACTACCCTGGCCTTCTTTTCACTTCTTCTACCCTAAGTCTCGCAACACCCGTTCCATTCACCTGGGACACCCGCTTTCCCTCTCAGCCTTGACCAGACTCTGCTCTCCACCCCTGGCCTCGCCCTCAGCCCTCTCCTCCAGGAGGCCCTCCCGGACTGCTCCTTCTCTGAGCTCGGTCCTCAAGATGCTGCCTCTCCTGATACAGCAGAGCTGCAAAACTCAACCAGGGACTCCTTGATCAGTGCCGTAGATCTATGCTTCCACTGTGACGCAATAAAAGCCGGTTCTAGGCTGGGCGCGATGGAGCATGGCCGTAATCCCAGCTCTTTGGAGACTGAGGCAGGAGGATAAATTTGAGCCCAGCCCAGGCACCTTCACTATTCAGCAAGCACATGTCTCAAAATAAAACAGTAAAAAAGAACTCAGTGCGAAGGCCCTGGGTTCAACCCCAGTATCACAAAAAATAAAATAAAAATAAAAAAGGACTGGAGATAGAGCTCTGCACTCCCTATGTTCAATCACCACTATTGAAATTAATTAAAAATTTTAGCCAGGCATGGTAGTGCACACCTGTAATCCCAGCACTCAGGAGGCTGAGGCAGGAGGATTGCTGTGAGTTCAAGGCCAGCCTGGGCTACATAGTGAGTTCAAGGCCAGCTTGAACTATGTGGTGAGACCCTGTCTCAAAAAACCAAACCAAACCAAAATTAATTAATTAAAAAAATTTTTAGAGTGTGGGCAATGTAGCTCTGTGGTAGAACACTTGCCTAGAATGATCCAACCTCGGGCTGGGGATTTAGCTCAGCGGCAAAAGCGCCTGCCTGGCAAACACAAGGTCGTGAGTTCGGTTCCCGGTACCGGAGAAAAAACAAAAAATTAGAAAAAAAACAAAAACAAAAAAACCAGAATGATCCAACCTCTAGGTTCAGTCTGAAGTACCATCAAAAACTAGTTCTAGGTATGAAGGGTTAGGTCAGAGGCCTCATAGTCAAAGTTCAGTGACACAAATAATTTCTCTCTTTTTTGCTTTTTAGTTTTGTTTTTTTTTTTTCTTTTTGAGACAGGCTCTCGCTATGCAGTTCAGGTAGGCCTTGAGCTCACCCTGTAGCCCACGCTGGTCTCGAACTTTCAGTGATCTTCCTGCCTCAGCCTCCTGAGTGCTGGGATTACAGGCATGCGCCACCACACCTGGCCTTGCTTTTTAGTTTTTGACACAGGGTCCCATTGTGTAGTCCAGGCAGCCCTTGAACTTACTATGTAGTCCAAGCCGGCCTTGAACTTTCTGCAATCCTCCTGCCTCAGCCTCCCAAGTGCTGGGATTACAGGTCTGTGCCACACAGTACACAAATAATTGCTTAATGAAATGTCCCTTTTCTGCTATCTAGTCTAAAATATCAGCTACTCATGTGTCTGTTGGGTTAGCTAAGGAAGCCAGGCATTGTTTGCAGAAGACCCTGGTAGCCTGAGCAGAAGGAGGGTGTCTTAGTTCCTTTTCTCATTGCTGAGACTACTGTACACCAAAAATTAAAGGAAGAAATGTTTATTTTAGCTCGCAGTTTGTAGTGGTTTCAGTGTGTAGTCAGCTGGCTTCAAGGCAGGGTGGCATGGCGGAGGGGTATTGCAGAGGAGAAATAGTCCATGGCAAAGCAGGCAAGAGACAGAAAAGCAGGAAGCAGCAGTAGCACCAGCCAGCCTGGCTTTTCTGTCTCTTTATATTCCACCCAGGCCTCAAGTTTACTGATTGGTGTCACCCACACCCAGGGTGGGACTTAATCCTGGCATCACATGCCCTGGATCCAGCCAGCTCTGAAAACCCCCACCTCTGAGTGCATGAGGCTTTGGAGGGATTCTAGACAGAAGCCGTAACAGAGGGTAACTTTTCAGGAGTGTGTTAAGTTGTCAGCCTGAATTAGCTCCTCAGTGGGGAAGGTGGACCTCAATGCAAGGTACCCATGAAGCCTGACTCGTAGGGAATGAACCTCAGGGCTGGATTTCAGTGAGGGGGAAGGGAAGGAGGCTCCAAGAAGGGCAGAAGTAGAGTGCTGCAAACAGGAGTGATGAGGCTGTGGTAGCTCAGTGATAGAGCATGTGCTTAGCATGTGCAAGGCTATGGGCTCAACCCCAGTACTGGGAAAAAAGAAATAAAACCCACACACAAACACCAAAAAGCAGTAGTGGTGAACATCGAAGATGCTTTTTAACAAGCAAGTCTTTTTTTTTTTGGAATGGGAACTGAACTCAGGACCATGCACTTGCCAGGCAAGGTGCTGTGCCACTGAGGTATATCCCTGGCCCCTTGAAGATGCTTTTTAAACCTGGGGTCTACCTCTGAGTGGGTTTAGGTAAGCACAGTAGTATACACCTGTAATCCCAGCTGATCTTGGGTTTAGGTAAGCACAGTAGTATACACCTGTAATCCCAGCTACTTAGGAGGCTGAGGCAAAAGGATTAAAATTTGAGGTCAGCCTGGGAAATTTAGCAAAACCTTGTCTCAAAATAGAATATTTTTTAAAAGGGCTGGGGTGGCCAGGTGTGTTGGTACACGCATATATTTCAGAACGCAGGAGGCTGAGGCAGGAGGATAGCCATGAGTTTGAGACCAACCTGGGCTACATAGTGAGTTCAAGGGTAGCCTGAACTACATCGTGAGACCCTGTCTCAAGAATACAAAAAAAAAAAAAAAAAAAAAAAAAAAAAGGTGCTGGGGAGTTGCTCAGTGGTAGAGTGACCTTGAGTTCAACCCCCAATTTTGGGGGAAAAAAAAAAAAAAAAAAAAAAGATTCCAGGGTCAAGCCTGCCTCCTGGTCATTCCTCCCAGGACCCCGGTGGGCTGAGGGAGCTCCTAGAGGACTGCTGGGACGCAGACCCAGAAGCCCGGCTGACAGCTGAGTGTGTGCAGCAGCGCCTGGCCGCCCTGACCCATCCTCGGGAGGCTGACTCCTTCCCAGAGGGCTGTGCGCGCGGCTGCGCTCCCCTCTGCCCAGAAGACTGTCCTTTTCCTCCTGCCCCTGTCATCCTCCCCTTCAGGCCTTCGCCAAGTGCCTGCCATTCCAGCTGAACGCAAGGCCCTGGCTCCAGGAACCCTCAGCCTGCCGGTGCCAGTGCTCGCGTGTAAACACGCAGTTTATGTGGAAACTGCGTACCTGCGAACGTAAAGGTGGTTACCATCTGCTGTGTGGTCTGCCTTACCGTGGCTTTCCCATCCACTGAATGCTTGGGTTCTTCTGTGGTGTCAAGTCCACAGTGGTTCTGACCAGTAGATAGGGGTTGCACGCATAGGAAAGAGAATAAAGTCAGCTTTCCTGACCCGTGTTCTCGGCTTTCTGCCTTTCCTGCAACCCTAGGCCCTGCTCACTCTTCCCCTTCCCCCAGCATTTAAATGGCGGGATCGCCCACTGGGCACTGGGGAAAAAAGCACGGACACAATGCACTGCCGGCCCTGAAGGTGCTCAAGGACCTGCAGCTCCCGTTTTGAAGTCCTGGGCAGTGTGAGGCTGAGCCGAGCGCTGGAGGTGTGAGCAGGCTTGTGCCTGCACAGCGGTTTCCCGAGAAACTCCTGGGGCAGCAGGGAGTGCACGGCCTCCGGGGACGGGGGCAGTATGCAATACAGGAAGAGACCCCTAGTAAGCTGGGTAGCAAAAGTGCCAAGGTGCGTAGTGCGAAGAGAGGAAAGGGGATGTAGGAAACTAAGCAAGGCCTTATGAGCCCTGCTGGGAAGTTCTTTCTCCATTATTTTTGTGCTCATTCCCCTTCTGTCCTCAACATACACTGAACACCGTTCATTCTCTGGATAATCGTGAAACACAGTTTTCATGATTTTTTGCCTCTATGCAACTGTGCACTTGTGTTTTCCCTGGCAGTCCTGTTAGCACTATTTTCAGAGCAGGAAACCAAGAAGCTCAGAAATGTGTCTAAGGAGTCAAGTGGGATAGCGCACACCTGTAATCCCAGCATTCAGGAGGCTGAGGCAGGAGGATGCCTCTGGGTTACATAGTGAGGCCAGCCTGGACTACACAATGAGATCCTGACTCCAAATAAAAAAAAAGGCAATGTGTCTGAAGTCTTAGCTTCTAAATAACAGAGCAAAGATTGTCAGTCAGTCATTAAAAGTATTTAACAAGTTAGTAATGCCCTGTCTCAAAAAAAAAAAAAAAAAAAAAGAAAGAAAGAAAAGAAAAAAGAAAAAAAGAAAAGGACTGGGGATGTAGCTTAGTCCAAAGGCCCTGAGTTTAATTCCCAGTACTGAAAAAAAAAGTTAAAAAGCTAGGTGCAGTGGCGCATGCCTATAATCCCAGCTACTTGAGTGGCTGAGGCAGGAGGATTGTTTGAGTTCAGGCCAGCTTGGGTAATATAGTGAGACCTATTTTTAAAAAAAAGTTTATAAAATCTTTTTTTTTTTTTTTTTTTTTTTTGAGACAGAGTCTCACTATGCAGTTCAGGCTGACCTTAAACTCACTTTGTAGCCCAGGTTGGTCTTGAACTCACAGCAATCCTCCTGACTCAGCCTCCCAAGTGCTGGGACTACAGGCGTGCACTACCATGCCCGGCTTATAAAATCTTGACATTATGAGAAATGGAGAAGATCATGACATAAAAATCTACAAGAGGATGATGAGCATAAACTACGTTAATCGCAAATCACCCTATTTGGCTGGAGATACAGCTCAGTGGTAGAACACTTGCCTAGCATGGCCAAAGCGGTGATGCAGTCCTATAATCCCAGTTACTTGGGAGGCGGAGGCAGATTCCAGGCCAGCCTGGGCAATTTAGGGAGACTGCCTCAAGATAAAGTAAGAGCTGAGGGTATAGTTCAGTGGCAGACTTGCTCCCGTACCAGTATTAGCATGTGTTGAGGTCCTGGGACCAAATCTGCAGCACAACAAAATCAAAACCAAACAAACAAAAAACTACGATCACGAGAGAGAGAGACAAATTCTAATACAGGAACATTGTGTAAAATGCCCAACCAACTGTTCAAAGCTGTCTAGGTCATCAAACAAAATATCTTAGAAGCTATCACAACCAAGGGGAGCATAAAGAGATGTGACAACTCAATGCAGTGTGGTACCAGGAAGGATTGTACAGTTTCAGCTTGACACGGCTGCAGACGTCTTGCCATGATTGCTCTAGAATAAGCCTTGCTTTTTCCTGCAGAGTTTCCCAGTGAGCTATAAATGGAGGAAACTGTTACTGTGGTCTATGGAGCTTTACAGCTGGACCTAGACACCGGGCATGCGCCTGCCTCTTTAATATTAGTTTACAATAAACCCGGTACAGCTGGATGCGGCGGTGAACTCCTGTAATTCCAGCACTTGGAAGGTTGAGGCCGCCTGGGCTACAGAGTGAGTTCAAAGCCAGCTTGAACTACAAAGAGAGACCCTGTCCCAGAAAACAAACAAGCAAGATAAACCGGGTACATTACAGTTCGCGTGAAGTTATTTTTGTCATAAACTCATATACATGCCCTTCCTTCCCATTCAAATTGTGGGGACCCAGCTGGCCCTTTGGCCACTCAGGACCACACTTCTTTCAGGAAGTCCCCCAGCAAACGGCACTCTGTAC